CGAAAGCTTTCAGCCCTGCATCTGTAAAGTTACTCTTCCAACTGAGATCCACATGCAGGGACGTGAGCTGCTTGGGCAGGGCTTCGGTAAGAGCTTTCACTCCTGCATCTGTTAAATTCTGACCGAAATCCACATGCAGGGACGTGAGCTGCTTGGGCAGGTTCTCCCCGAAAACTTTCAGCCCTGCATCTGAAACGCCATTTGCAACGACCTGCACAAGTGAACGCTTCTCGGGCAGATGTGCTGCAAGTGAAACCGAGCACTCCCGGTTGTCATCATGCATTTCGATGTGGAGCACAGTGACCTGGCCGAGCAGCATGCCGATCATGTCCTGCACACGTGATCTGCGAGTTGCTCAGATGTAAGGTTTTAATATCAGGCCTGGTATATAACTAACAATGTCACAATGTCAGGACGGTGCCCTTGGCGTGCTTCGTGGCTCTGGAGTGGAGTGTCATCACATGTTGGCTCACAATCAAGGTCTCACCAAAGCCCAGTGGACCTAGCACGCACACGGTCGCTGTGAATCTCCATGTGGGCCAATAGCTAACCTATGTGAGAAGGAGTCGTTGGAAGTAATGACGCATGCATACCGAACTTTTGCCACCAAGTGTACACGTTTCTGCACCAGGAAGCTAAAATAGGAAATGCCGGCCTGACGCGATGGAACAGCTTCAGGCTCTGCATCCAGGCCATCTGAACTCCTGCATTAACCTTGATTCTGCATTTCCAACGCAGGCCTTCTTGACTTGATTGAAGTTGCCTCTTGAGCCCTCTGGAATGCGGCCGTTATCTTTCAAATTACATACGGGCAAAGAGCAACGTGGAAAGACTTCTGTGGCGCGCCTTTCAGGGAGAAGAAGGAAAGATCAAGCGCATGACCTTTGAGCGCCAACAGTTGCTAAGCATGAAGCACTCTGTAGCCATGCATTTCGCTCTTCTTTGGAAAGGCATCTTTGTCGTCCTATATAGTCTACAGGGATGAGAGATGTTGCTTGCAACTCCATCACTGATGTGTGGCTGTATTTCTGGGTGCCCGCTCCACAGAGGTTGCCCAGCATATCCTCCCAGCGGTCCACCATGGCCTTAGGCTGAGAGGGTTCCCCTAGCACTTAGCGGCTATGCCTTTGTGGTTCGGGGTGCGAGGTTTCAGTACAGTTTCATTCTCTATGCGGGGCCCTTACCTTTATAGATCCAAGCTCCAATCAAAACTCATGTTCTTCAGACCCTGCTTGGGGTTATATGGTCCCCAAATGTCCCTAACAATAAATAATAGGCCTGAAAAGACGGTACTATAGATGGAGAGTCTAGGGAATCAGTAGTCAGCACCTGTGGGCGAATAGGCTGTTTGATCTCACATAGGCCTCGGCACTGCTGGGCTTTCAGGAGAATTATGGGAAGATAAACTGTTGGGGCAAGTGGCCAAATGGTGTTGCAACTTCAGCCACCTACCCAGCATTAGAACCTAGGCTGGCCTTGATGATTTAGGAAGGGTCAAGGTAGCAATGAGTACAAGCATAGGAGACAATGAAGCACACCGCAAGTGCCGCCCGGAAGCCAAGCAATCAATAAGCTTGAGGCGTCCCAAGTGAGTAGTACAAGATATCTTGCACCAGCAGAACCGCGCAGCAAACACAAAAGGTCATGGAGAAGACACGCGAAAAGTCCTTCCCATGCCCCAATCTGCATACTGCATACAAATCTCATAGGATATCTGAAGGCCTCAGCTGTAACCACAAGCTGAGAGCAAGGCCAGGACTCCACTATAGCTTCTAGGGTGGACTTGGGGTTGCATGTTTTTGGTGCTTTATGATTGTAGATGGCAGCCAAGCCCCACAGACTCGAATACAGCAGAAGCCTGCATGATGTCGGTAAAATCCGACACAACCGAGAAGGCGCGAAGTCTTCCAGGATTCCAATCACATCCCATGTTCGCCCTAAAGTTTTGCAAAAAAGTCTCCGCAGAGGAACTGCATGGGGCCCAGCTGAAGCCAACTGGAGCCTTCCGAAATCTGGAAACCTGAGACCATATTCCAAGGGCGATCGACAAGAATAAAATACAAGTATATATCTCTTGAACCAAACGCTGTTGAGGGGGAGATCGTCCTCTAGCTGTACATCTCAATGCCAATTATAGGGTTGCTGCACTGTAATTACTAGCGCATTCTTCTGCTTCTGAACCAGCACCGCCAACCTGTACACCCTAAAGCCCTCCAAACTCTCAATTGGGGTCCCGGACAACTAGCTAGCTGGCACCCTCATGACAACCCCACACCGCTGCGGAGCGTGAGACCTGGCAAACATTATAGATCACTGCCATGGAACTTCAGAAAGTTTCGAGGGAGTCGAGGTGTGCAAGTATATTTGCAGAGCAAGATGTAAGCCTTATCAGGTTTGTTGCTCGTGCGGCTTGGACATTCAGAGCTTCAGTTTTGATGCAAAACGGTTTGGGTCGGTTCATTCTGGGCAGATGGTTTCAGGGATTGAGTTGTTACTTTCTCTCCCTCCTGCCTGCTCGACCGAACCCATAGGCGTAGGGGACATAGGGTCGATATTGAGAAAAATTAGGAAAACGGTATCCGCGGCATGGTCTAAAACGTAGGAGTAAGACGACCCCTAGTGACGAGACATATAGAATGTGTGAGACATCCGTTTGACACGTACAGTACCGGGGATGGAGCCGGTTATACATTCTGGGGGGGAGGGGCGGTAGTCGAGCGGCTGACTGTAAAGTGATGATTTGCTGTTTTCATCTGCTTTCTCAGCTTTTTCACAATGTTGCATGAAGATTGACTGGGCTTCGCCACGGTATGCATGATAAGCTCATGAATCCTGCCACCTCGGCAATGCCACGACCCCATGAAGTCGGCCACCACCGGGTCTCGATTCCGGGTTACTGTCACCCGCCTAGTTACTGACTCCTGCATCTGGGACAAGCTTGGCCGGCTACTATTGCATACGCTCGATTCATGTAAGATGCCATAATTTGGCCGGTAAGCCAGGGTTGAACTTGAACTGTGAACCATGTTCGAAACTTTTTCTAAACGCTTGCAACCTCAACGCCTTCAGAAGCTGGAATTCCATGACATATGCAAAGATATTCAAGACGGCAAAAACCCTTCAAGCCAGCACAGAGCTCCTCGTCTGAAGCCGCTCCAGAGTAGCGAAATATCTCAATCTGAAACTGAATGAAGGGTGCCAAAATAATCAACATGGCCTAACGTACAAAGACAAAGACACGGCCGAGAACGAACCCTGGAACTTAACTCTCATCCCCAAGAGGCGCAGCGCACACACGATTCTGAGTTCTGCACTCTAGTGCAAAATTTAGATTCTATATATGCATACATACACACATATACAGGTACAAGTGCGTATGTATGTATGTATATATATATATAATGTACATAGAGCATCATAGAGCAAGCTGCCATGACGTCTGCTGTGCAACGCATTCAGCTAGCCTGGCAGCTGGGACGGGGAGCTCAGAAAGCGGTGTCCATCGCCTCAGCAGGGGATCTAGCGGCACTCCGGGTGCAGGACCTGTGGAACGCTTGAAATCAAAATTCCGCAGGCATTAGGCCGCATGTAAAGGCACGCAGGAAGGACGCTGCGCAAGGGAGACGCCGGGAAAGGGGTGGGTAGCGACGCAGGGCCCCCATCGCTGAGGTCCGCACCTGATGCGTCTGAGAGGATGAGTGAAACTCAGCAGCTACACCTCAAAGCCGAAGTAAGAGACAACTCCACTCGCTGCAACGGGACAGGCTCTTTCCAAAGCTGACACCGACGTGAAGAAAACCAAGGGTAGCTCAGCTGAAGCACTGGTACTGTAGCTAGTCAATTTTCTAAAGCATCCGGCACAAAAATCCAGAATTCTGCATTCTTGCTGGCACTATGACATGGACAACTCCTAGAAATGAAGCTAACTTATATCACAATTTTAGAAAACCCTGATTGACCCCCTGGTAATGCGAAATCTCAACCATGAACCTCAAACTTGTGACTTCAAGGTCCGCACGAAAACTGCGCACTGAGTGTGGGTCGGCAGTCTGCCAGCGATTGACATAGCTGAGGTGGCACAGCAGCTTCTTTTTGGGGAGCTTGTTCTTAGAAAATTGTGCTACCAAAGAAACACGCTCCTGTCTGGAGTAATAAGTTACAGTTACTTGGAAACGTATAGTTGTTGCGATATCCACAGAAGCGTCATGTATCTGCGGTCAGCAGCATGTCATCTCACAACCGGAAGGATCGTCCAATCAGCAAATCTTCTCCATCTGACGTCGGGGTGGCTCTTGAACCGAAGTAGTAGGCAGCTGTTTTCACAGAGGTGAAGGGAGAAGGCAGGGCTTTTGCATGCGGGGCAGCGAGCACAGCGAGCAGACTACACTCCCAAACCCGGCAGATAACACTTAAAACTATGAACAAACAAGCCCTGTTATACTATAGTAGTTGTCCATTTTCTTTCCATTATCCCAATATGACGCTTTTATACTCAAGTAGTTTCCATTTTAGCAGCATGTGCATCCAAGGCTGGCTCTGAGAGAAGCCACTGCGCACCATGGAAAACTCAAGTATCAACTGTGCAATTATAGGGTGTATATTGGGGTTAAATATAGGAATAATGGAAAGCAAAAGGGAAACTACTATATTATAGTAGGGT